CCCCCGCACGGGAAGGGGAGGGCCCGGACCCCTCCCCACGCCACCCCTCATGGGAGCGCGCTCAGGGCGGGCACTCTGAACTCTGCAGGAGGGGTTCGCTCAGTTCATCGGCACAGCAGCCGGAGGCAGAGGCAGCTAGCACCTCCGTGGTGCAGGTGGGGAAACCGAGGACCCAGGGCTCTGGCCTCAGCCTAGTGCATGTGCTGCCCTGGCCTGCACGTGGCTTCCCCTCCTTCCTGAGAAAGACGCACTCCACCCCCGCACCCCCAGACTGCCCGAGTGTGGGTGGGGAAGGGAGAGCAGGGCCCCAGCGCCCACCTCTGCCCTCCCCGGGCTGGCTGTGTGCCGTGGGCGAAGTCCCTCACCCTCTCTGAGCCTCTGTGTGAGAGGCAGAGTCAGGGCAGGGCTGTCTGCTTTGCACTTTGTTCCAGACCTGACTCTTCCCCCCTCCTGGGCCCCGGCATGTGTTGGGGGGCTCCCACCCCCGCAGGGTCACCCCCAGGCTTCCCCCTGCGCCCCTCCCCAGCCCCCAGTACCTGCAGCCGGCAGTAGCACAGAACCGCGATGATGCACAGCAGGATCACAGTCGCCAAAATGCCCCCAGTGATGACCACGGTCCCGGCTGTCATCCGCCCCCTTCTCCATCAACAGCCTGCAGCACACACAGCCAGGCTCACACAGGGCGGAAACGGGGGGGTCAGGTACCCCAGGGCCTCCCGCTCCAGCCCCGGTTCCCACCCCTGCGGGAGGGGATGCCGGCCAGCCCGGCTCCTGGGGCTGGGGCCGCCGTGGTCCCGGGCATTTTAGCGCTCACAGTGGATGGCGCCCTTCCAGCCGTTCTCACCCAGACCCGCACGCAGCCAGCTGAACACGCACTTTAAAGGCCGCTCTTTCACCCCACGAGGGCCCCCTTGTCTGTGTCGTAGCGTTGCCTGTTCTTCTGCAATATCCCTACCCCACGGGGTCACTAACCGACCCCTTTTCTTTCCGACTCGTCACCGTGATAAAGAACACATCACCCAAAACGTGCCACCTTCGCCAGCTGTGAGCTCAGTGCTGTGGGTGCAGCCCATTTTCAGAACCTTCTCTCTTAAAACCAAACCTATTCCTTTTTGACCATTAGGTTTGCACTCAAAAACTATTTTAAGCCCATGTTTTAAAAAGCATTCTTTTGG